CAAGTTGTCCCCAACTATCCCAGCAACACCACATCACCTGATGGTTAGCTTCCCACGTTCTAAACACTCTCAACAAATGCCAAAAAAGCGGGGAGCACTTCCCATATTTTTTCCATTTAAAATGGGGGGTTGCACAAAAGGAGAGACCAGGGATTAAAACGATACAGAGATGAGGCACCAAGCGTAGCTGTTTGGCTCTCCAATCCACCCAAAATATTCCCTCTCTTTCCGTTTCTCGTCACCTTCTCCATTACTCCACTCCTCCTATCCATTTTTATTCCACCAAATGGAGCGTTAAACCCTTCCTGAATAGCAATGTCGGATCACCTATTCTCGCCATCAACTCATTTCCTTATTCACCACTGCTTCTCTCTTTGGTCCAAGTCCGACATGTTTCGTCAAGGGAGCGAGCAAAAGAGGAGGACGCTCATGACTCCACATACTTCCAAACTGAAGAAGATTATTCGTCCTACAAGTCCAGTTTTAGGACTTTGAATGATGGCAATATTCGTCGTTGGGGGTGGCTCGGAATCTCGACATTTTTTCTATTCCCAAACAAAACCCACGTTCATCTTCTCGGATAATCTCCCTCTCTAACCATGCGGCCGACCGTACTCTCCAAACTTTAAGCCCAAACGTCGGCCGTCGGCCCCAAAGAGCTAAGCCTCGCAATGACGGAATCTACATCATCAACCTTGGCAAAACCTGGGAGAAGCTTCAGCTTGTTGCTCGCGTAATTGTTGCTATCAAGAACCCTCGGGACATCATTGTCCAATCCGTAAGGCCGTATGTTCAGAGAGCTGTGATGAAATTTGCGCAGTATACTGGTGCCATGCATAACCTATTCGGATGCTCAAAATGTTAAGGGACACCGTTACAAAATGAGGTTCGTCTATGCTCACTTTCCGATCAACGCCTCCATCACTAACGGTAACAAATCCATCGAGATCCGTAACTTCCTTGGCGAGAAGAATGTTCGTAAGGTAGATATATGGGAAGGGGTTTCCATTATGAGATACCGATCAAGTACGTGCAGATTTCTGTAGGAATTGTTGGGCCGTTGTTGCTTAATGGAAGAGAGTTCTCGGTTCCCATGGCTACCATTGAAGGCTGCTTGGTTGCTAGCACTAACAGGGGAAGTTTGTTTTAAATTAAATGACAAATGCATTAAAAAAAGGCTTATGTTGCATGAAATGAAACAAATCCACGTTAAGGTGGACTTTAGGGTAAATTCTCTCTTTGGTTCTTTAAATATTTTGGGTAAATTCAATCCTCGATCCCTGTAAGTTGTACCTTTTACATTTTGGTCACTGCAGTTTATTTTCAATATTTCGAATTCTGATTTCCAAATTTATGCATACTTTATTCTGGTCACTAATGAAATTTATTTTTTTTATTTATTTATTCTCGGTCTCTTAGTTTATACTAATTACATTTTAATCTCTAATTTTGTGCATTTGATATTTTGTTTAATTACTAGGTGGTCCTTAAACATTTTTTTTCATTTTTTAGAATTTATCCTTTTGTTTTTCCTCTCTTCATTTTATTTTATATTTTTATTTTTATTATTCTTTTTCCTTTTTTCCTTTTTTTCATTCTTATTATTTTTAATTTTATTTATTTTTTAATTTTATTTATTTATTATTATTATTATTATTATATTAATGCTTTTTTCATATTTATTTCTATTTTTTATAATCTAACATTTTTGACTTTCTAGGTATGCTTTCAATCGATCAAAGATAATTAATTCGAATCAAATTTTTAAATTTTAATTTTTGTAATTAAGGCAACCGATAAATTAATTGGTACCGAAAGGGCGGTTCAAGGGTGCTAATCCTTCCTTGACTGTAACCGACTCCCGAACCCGACACGTTTCTGGTACAACGCAGATCAGGTAAGATGGTGTCCGACCCACCTAAATTCGTTTTAAAATGGTCGGTGGCAACTCTAAAGCATTTAATCCAAGTCGAAGCTCAATTCCGGGCCCAACCGAAAGACGATTCCGACACATACAGGGCAATAGCCAATTATAGACTTGGAAAAAAATAGAAGCTGATATTTTTAAGGTAAAGTTCTAGTTTTTAATAAAAATATAAAATATGATACTGGGCTCATAGAATATGTAGTTGATTAGTTGCCTGCCTTGGTGTTGGCTATAGATGGGTTCCAATTTATCCGATATGGTGTATGAACATGTCATTCGGGGTAAAACATTTTGTAGATTGTGTTGATTCTAGTTTAGATGGTTGTTTAGTTTTAATGAATTATTAAGCATTTTATAACTTTTTTGGAGATTATCAAAGTCCGATTTAAAGACTTCAAGCACTAAGGTGGTGTTTATTTTTGTAGAGGTAAAAGGTCCGCAGTTTGCGGACCACATCTGCAGGCATCTGCAGCAGAAGAGGTGGACCAAAAGTCTGCAGTCTGCAAGAAGAAGAATGTTTGTTTTTTAACGTCTGCAGACTGCTAAAATGAATTGAAATATAAATAAACTGATTTTTTAAACTTAAAAGAGTTTTGCAATATTGAGATTTAAATAATTTTAGTTTTACAATACTGAAATTTAAATAATCCATACAACTACAATAATAAATTATTTAAAATAAATCAATCCATATTTTAAAATAAATCAATCCATACTAATAAATTATTTAAAATAAATCAATCTATATTTTAAAATAAATCAATCCATACTAATAAGTTATTTAAAATAAATCAATCTATATTTTAAAATAAATCAATCCATACTAATAAGTTATTTAAAATAAATCAATCTATACAACTACAATAATAAATCAATCCATATTTTAAAATAAATCAATTCATACTAATAAATTATTTAAAATAAATCAATCCATATTTTAAAATAAATCATTCCATATTTTAAAATAAATAAATTTATACTAATAAATTATTTAAAATAAATCAATCCATATTTTAAAATAAATCAATATATACTAATAAATTATTTAAAATAAATCAATCCATACTAATAAATTATTTAAAATAAATAAATCCATATTTTAAAATAAATCAATCCATAAAATAAATTATTTAAAATAAATTATTTTAAAATAAATCAATCCATATTTTTAATAAATTATTTTAAAATAAATTATTTTAAAATAAATAACCTTATTAAATTATTTAAAATTATTTTAATAAATAACCATATTTTATAATTGTTCTTGAAGAGGTTTGAAGACCTTTGAAGACATAAAACCATGTTTGCACCAAGAAGAGCTCGCGCAGACGTTAGAATAGCTTCTGTCTTCTAAAAAACAAACGGTCTGCGAAGCTTAATGTCTGCGCGTGATCTGCGCGGCGCAAACATAAGAGGTTTTAAGAGGTGGAACAGTGAAAATAAACACGGGCTAAAATTGTCTAAACTCTGTTCAATTACTATTAAATTATTCTGAGTCTGCAGGTCGTGGTTTTTGGTCTGAGCAATGTGTTCAACTACTACATTAAAATTTAACACATGAGTTGCCATATCTAGAGCCTCCATTTGCTAGCATTCTCACCCGGTAATCGTACTATTTCTCATCCTACTTTGTGGATGAGGTCAGGACTTCTCTCTCTTATAGTGTATTAATATTATCCTTCGTCCTCTTCTTCGTAAGGATAATATGAATAATAATCTTGCATATCATCATTTTACATTGGATATCATCTTCTTCGTCATCATTTTACATTGGGGTAAAATTGGTTTACGCAGCGGCACTCACTTGTTGACTTATTTTACATTGTCAATTCAGTATCTAGTTGGGAATTTATTGTTTTTAACTGTTTATGTAGTGCGGTCTGATTACATTTGACATTTGCTACATGTTTTATATTTTCAGTGGATTGCAATGGGATTTCAGGTTTTATGGGTAATTTGCACTTTGTTCTTGCAGTGTAACATGCATCCTTCGATGGGCATCATACAGTAAAATGCCTACATGCCCTCGGTGTAAACATCTGTTTGAGTCCCTTAATGTTCATCGTTCCCTTGATGGCAGGTAATCTTAAATCCTCCATTCTTGATAGTTGATTTTTTCTTGTCATGTTGGCATTTAATTCGAATATTATGAATTCGGATTAGTATATAATATACCAGGAATATATTCATTTCTTCATATTGGTGCCTCATCATCATTTCGAAGATTTTTTTAGGAAGATCATGGTGGAGCTGGATTTTTCTGGGTACGAAGCCTAAGTGATGAAAATTTGTCATCCAACTCCCTCCACAAATCGGTTACCGGCCAACAACTGATGTTGTTGATGATGATTTGATAATTTCTTAACGGAGGAGACTCAATACGTTTGCTATGAAGGCAAATTTTATATCCTGAGGAAGCTCGACCGATCTTTTTGATTGTCAACATTTGATTGCACAACAATGTTGACAGGTTAGGTCGGGTTTTCGGCCGAGTCGATCCGACCTGAAGAGTACTCTATTCGAATCTCTTATAATTAGACATAAATAAATATAGAATCTCTTATAATTAGAAATAAATAAGTTAATAGTTTTAAAATAAGTTAGTTATGCTAATACCTCTGCACAATTTTTCAAACCTGGTTTTGAAACTGGTGTAAGCATCGTTTAGGTAAAACTTAGATTAAGTTTGGCAATCCATATGTGGAATGCAGCACCTTCACTATGGAATGTATTGTGGAATGGTTCATGTCTACAAGAAACAATGTTAATTAATTTTATATAAATATGGGTCCAATTATGTACAAGTCCCTACACTACGGGTCAGATTACACAAAAGGTGTCTATACTATGTTTTTCTCATTTATGGGTTTAATTTCTCTATAATCGTTTGATATTTTTCTTCATATTAATCCTATTAATTAACTTGACTTGACTTTTTTTTAAACATTTGATAGAGTTAATGAGAGAGAAAAAATCAAGCTTTAACACAGGGACTAAATTTAAAGAAAATTTATAGTGCTTGACCTTTTTATAAAATTTGACCAAATAGATGCAGTTTATCGGTTCACCAAACACAGGCAGCTATTTCAGCGTCAATTCACCAGCATTAGAGAAAAACTTGTCCTACAATTAAACTCGGTTGTTCCAACATCCAATTCTACTAATCTGCACCCCTCAGCCACCTTCAACAAAATGCAGCCAATGCTCAAGCTCTAGGCTCCAACAATGGCGAGTTGCTTCCACTCGGGACGCAGCATCAATGGAGAACACGACTCAGTCATTCTCTTCTCAACTTCCAATTCTCCTGAAGGATCATCCACCAGCCCTTCCTCTTCTTCTTACCACTCACCACCACCGCATTCAAAACCTTCACACAAACTGACGGTGAGAAACCTTTCCTACACAATTCACTTCAAAGGATCGATCCCTTTTTCCTTCTTTCAGCAAAAGAGGCCTAAGCCTGTTGAGGTACTTAAATCGGTCGGATTCGTCGCGCGAAGCTCCGAGATTGTTGGAATCGTCGGTCCGAGTGGCACCGGGAAATCGAGTCTTCTTAGGATAATATCGGGGAGGGTACATGACAAGGATTTTGATCCGTGTAGCATCTCCATTGATGATCATTTGGTGACCAGTCCTGCTCAGTTGAGGAAGATATGTGGATTTGTGGCACAAGAGGATGATTTGCTTCCTTTACTTACTGTAAAAGAAACGTTGACATTCAGTGCCAAGTTCAGGCTCAAAGAGATGAGCTCGAAAGAGAAGGAACAAAGGGTTGAGAGCTTGATGCAAGAGCTTGGCCTTTTACATGTTGCCGATAGTTTTGTTGGCGATCATGAACATAGAGGGATCTCTGGCGGAGAACGAAAAAGGGTCTCGATCGGTGTCGATATGATCCACGATCCTCCGATTTTACTCCTCGACGAACCGACTTCCGGCCTTGATAGTTCTTCAGCTCTGCATGTGATCGAACTTCTTGCTTCCATGGCCAGAGCTAGGGGAAGAACGGTTCTACTTTCGATCCATCAACCGAGCTATAGAATTCTCGGATTCATTTCTAAGTTTTTGGTTCTGTCTCATGGATCCGTTGTTCATAATGGTAGTCTCGAGTTGCTAGAGGAAAACATACAGAGATTAGGATTTCAAATCCCGATTCAATTGAATGCTCTAGAGTTTGCAATGGAAATCATGCCTGCACTCGAGACATCGACCTCCAAATTCTCTGTTGTACAAGACAAGGACTCGTACATATGGTCCGACGACGACGACGACGACAACGACAAACGAATGATGAGGTTTCGGTTCTCATCAAACATGCTCGAAATCATGATTCTTTGCTCCAGATTCTGGAAGATCATATACAGAACAAAGCAGCTGTTCTTAGCAAGAACAATGCAAGCAATCGTGGGTGGATTCGGATTAGCAAGCGTATACATAAAAGTAAAGCGAGACGAAGAAGGGATCACCGAAAGATTAGGCTTATTCGCATTTAGTCTAAGCTTCCTCCTTTCGTCCACAGTCGAAGCACTCCCCATATACCTCCAAGAACGTCGAGTCCTAATGAAAGAAGCCTCAAGGGGAGCCTACAAAATCTCCTCCTACATGATCGCCAACACCATCGTCTTCATGCCCTTCTTGTTCATCGTCTCGATCCTCTTCGCCATCCCGGTGTATTGGATCGTAGGCCTCAACCCTTCGATTCCGGCTTTTGCGTTCTTCACATTCATCGTCTGGCTCATAATCCTAATGGCCAGCTCCCTCGTACTCTTCCTCAGTGCAATCTCGCCGGATTTCATCTCCGGGAATTCACTCATTTGCACGGTGTTGGGATCATTTTTTCTCTTCTCGGGCTATTTCATCCCCAAAGATAACATCCCGAAGTATTGGCTGTTCATGTACTATGTGTCACTGTACAGGTATCCGTTGGATGCGATGCTGACGAATGAGTATTGGGGGATGAGAAATGAGTGCTTCTCGAGGGGAGTTTCGGGATGTTTGATGACGGGGAAGGATGTTCTTAAGAGCAGGGGGCTTGACGAGGACTCGAGGTGGATGAATGTTGGTGTCATGCTTGCTTTCTTTGTCTTGTATCGTGTGTTTTGTTGGATCATTCTCGCTCGAAAGGCTTCAACCACAACCATATAGAATTATATGTACAATTTCCCACATATATGTATTGTGAACCATAAATATATTCTACTAAGATTATTATTATGTATTTCGAACCAATATAGAATTATATGTACAATTTCCCCATATAAATTTACGTAATCTTCTTAAATTTAAAACATAAATGTTACGTAATAATTTTTTATTTTTCAATGATGAAGTATCATTATTTTATGGTGACATGTTAGCATCGTCATTAATTTTGTAATGGAAGAGTAAGACGAAATTAATATATAATTTTAGGTATAATTTAAAAAATAATAGTTAGATGATTAAAACGACGAGTGAGAATAATTGAAGAACTAAATATTGAATTTACCCTTTAATTTAATCAAAAGAGGTGATGTACCAAATCCAACATATGATAAAAACCAAAGCAAATATTGACAAGTCACTAACCAAACCAATTCAGTCGTCCACCAAGTAGACCCCAAGATCTTAGAAGCATTCAACCCTTTTCCAACTTGCCAAAATGTTCGCCTTTTTCTCCATTGTCGTTGAACAGTACAAATTTTTTGTATTTTCCCTCTCGGTGAAATTCAGGTACTACTACATTCATCTCTTTTTTTTTTCTCATTTTATTTTCATTTTGAAAAAAAAAATCTTGGTTTCTGTTATTATTTGATTTCTGGGTTTTGCTTCTTTTTAATTAAAAAAGTGGAATATCATATCTGATCCTTTCCAATTGTGAATTCTGATCAATACCCGGATTTTCATATTGTTGTTTTTGTATTGAATCGTCTTTATTTTGCATTCTTCTGCTTTAATCATTGCCGTTTTGATGCGGCATTGACCCATGCCTTACTGTTATGTTGCTTGCAATTCATTGGTGCAGGTTCATTTCTATATATTTCTGAGGGATTTATGATCAATTGTTTGAGATTTTGCCACAAAGGGTATTCTCACTTGCTGCAGTTCTATACTGTATAGGACGGTTAAAAGGAATTGTTGTGGGTTTTTTTCTCTATCTCTGCCCCCCCCCCCAAATATGGCTCTAGATTGCATAATTTGAATTAAGCGCTGTGGCTTTGATAAAGGCAGTAGTTTTGTATTGTGTAAGGAAAGATGAAGCGTGTTTCGCCGCTCCTTTTGATACTTTTAGTTCTAGGGTTTTTCTTTGCTACATATAATTTGTTGACTATGATAATACACTATAAGACATCTTCGGAAGAATGGGAGGATTCTTTACTAATGCCAGGGAATTTGAATGAATTTGGGGGTTCAAAGTCAAAGTGACATGTTGCCCTCGCGGCAACTGATGCTCCGTATAACCAATGGCAGTGTCGGATTATGTATTATTGGTATAAGAAGGTAAGAGATATGCCTGGGTCAGAGATGGGAAAGTTCACTCGAATTTTGCATTCTGGGAAGCCTGACAGTTTGATGGAGGAGATTCCAACTTTTGTTGTTGATCCTCTCCCAGAGGGTTTAGATCGGGTGAGTCTTTTGCTGTTTAGTATTTCAGTCTTCATTTCCCCTTGTATTTTGTAACATGTAATTCGGTGAACAAGCAACCAAACTGATAGATATACAATATAGATATAGATCAAGCTTATCCATAATTTGTCATTGCAAGTTGAAGATGCTCATATTGTTTTTAATTGAATCATAATTTTACAGTGAATTATCCGCTGCATTACTCGTAAGACATAAACCGAACTAAAAAAATATTGTTTTAACTAAAATTTTCTTGTTTTCTCTCAATCCCGTCTTCAGGGGTATGTTGTCTTGAATAGTCCATGGGCTTTTGTACAATGGTTGGAAAAAGCAACAATTGACCAAGGGTGAGTTTTCATTTAACCGATAAAACCATTCACGGTGTATGCTCTTCCATTATTTTATCTGAAAAGTTACTGCATTATGACTGATGCAGAACCTGACCATATATTCGTAAATCCTTTGCCTAACTTGGCTCGTGGAAAAAATCCAACTGGGTTCCCTTTTTTTTACATTAAGCCATCTGATCACGAGACTATTATTAGAAAGTATTATCCCAAGGAGAAGGGTCCTCTGATGAACATTGATCCAATTGGCAATTCTCCAGTGATTATCAGAAAAGTATCCCTTTAAGATCGTCATAGCTTGTGTGACGCATTTGCTCTGAGCATAAATCAACTTTCATAACGGTCTGAGCTGGAGAAAATTTCACCTACATGGATGAATCTTTCATTAAGGATGAAAGATGATCCAGCAACCGATCAGGCATTTGGATGGGTGCTAGAAATGTCAGCAAGGTTTTCGTTTTTTAAATTCTTTTATTTTTATTCTTTTTGCTGATATGGCCTTTTGACACGTGTGACCATTCCATTGAAATTTAGGTTTGCATATACTGTGGCATCAGCACTACATGATGTGCGGCATATACTTCGTGAAGACTTCATGCTCCAGGTTTTATTATAATGCACTGAACCTTTTTTTTTGCTCCCAATCAATTTTAGCTACAATTTGATGTTCAACTCTCATCGGCGTCATCGCTGTTTGTTATCAGCCACTTTGGGATTTGAAAATTCTGGAAGAAGTTTATACTCCATTATACTTACAGATGTGACTACAATTTAAAGGTACAGCCATACAAGAAGCTCTCTCTGGAACTTATTGTTTTTGGAATCGATATGTTATTTTTTGATTTGTTTACAGCTTTAAGATGAAATTTTGCTTACAATATTTTCACTCTGAGTTGGCATTACAGGGAGAATTAACATATGGAAAGATTGGAGAATGGCATTTCAACAAGAGATCGCATCTTAGCGGGCCTCCTCTAAGTGTTCCTGAAAGTGTGGTAAGTTCATCAGTTTCGGAAAATATAAATACAGGACTCATGGTTAATAAGTTGATAGGCTGATCTTTGAGGTAAAAGAACACAAACCACATCCTAGAGCAAATCTATGGAATGGTAACAATGTCTCAGTGCCTTACACATTGCAGGTTAATCAAACGGTGGTTGTAATTTCTCGGCATATTGGATAGTTTCTTGACATAAACTTTTTGAGCTGCAACAGTTTGAAATGTAGTGATTCAATTTCTGCAGGTGAGACTTGTGCAGATGGTGAATGAGGCTACGGCAAATATTCCCAATTGGGACACACTTTAAGTTGTGGCCAAGACATAATCTTATTAGTTTGAGCATCCATTCCAATGCTGATATCAATCTCCTTCCAACGAGAGTTATCAGAGCGAAATAGAGGGTAGCTTAGACAGACACCAGTATACATAGAGAAAAGGGTATGTTTACAAGTCAACGTGGGATGTTTCCTTTTTTGCTCTTTTATTAAATGTGAAATCCATGCATTTCATGTTTAATAAAAGAATGATGTCTATTTATCGAATTTTTCTTGTGAAGTTTTGCGACTGTAAACTAAATGTTGGAGATACAAATCAATGGGTGATGAAATTTTTTTCGCCTGGTAAAATAAGGTATGGGGCCAAGATATTAGGCTTGTTTCACCATGCTAAAGTAGCAATATTTCTATTGTCGAAGCCTTGGCTTACATATGGAACAAGCATGGCAATGCTTGTCTAGACACCTATTTGGTAGAGAAGAAATGCTGAAAATGTTCATTATCTTTTATGCATATATATCTGATCAAGCTGAAAAAATAGAGCTAATATTGACATATATTATATCATATACTTACTACATCTTAGCATAAGATTAGGTCAAAAGCATTTTGTAAGTTCACATCCAGCTTTTTAAATTACCCTGAATGTCACTTTTTCTTTCGTTGAAGTCGATTGTGCACTAGTTCTGCTGCCTGCTGCTAACTTCCAACCATTAGAAAATAGGATAGGAAACCAAGTTTATTCAACCGATCCCGATAAAGAACCCAGAAACAAACATGTGGCCTTATTAAAACGTTGATGAACAAGGCATTTAAAAAGAATTTTAACAAGTAAGATCAACTCCAAATCAAGAAACAGAAAATGAGCAATCAAGCTAAGTTACCAGGCGTAAATACTTGCATATCGATCTCACACAAAATGACCTGTCCAAACTGATTGTTCTTGAAACTGCTGGTTTCCATTCATGAATTGACGATGCTGAAGCTTCTGTTCTAAGTTGATTTTTTTATGCACAAAAGTATTGTTTTCTGCTTTTCCATCTGGAACTGCACTGGTGGAACCTGTTTTCCAGGGAAAGGAAAGCTTATTGTCCTAGTCAAGCCATTGCTTCTGTCACTGACATACATGGAATCTGAATGAGATGCATAGTTGATAGAACTATCAAGCCCCAGAGCCTTTTCGTGATGATGCCGACAGATATACAGCCAGCCAACTATAATCAAACATCACCTGGGTCAACAAATCCGAGGCAGAAACAGATTCACTCGATGGCTTCAGAGGAAGAGGGCTAAACCCTGGTGGTGGAAGATGCCTAATAGTGCTGTTAACCAGATTCTTCTGCATCCCAACTTGTGAAGCTGAGGTAGTTCTAGAAGCCAAAGCATCAGCAGTAACTCTAGATGATACAGTAACATCAATACCGGATCAAAGTTTCTGGTACTTTTGACTGATTGTAGTACACACGATCAGAACTAGCACTGGTGGATTGTTGAACAGAAAATGAGCGAGCAGCAGGATGAGGTATAACAAATTTCCAAACATTTGTCTGAAAATTCATACAGAAACGAATGGAAGTATAAAATGAAACAAATAAATGAGAAAAGTTGGCTCTTTCAAGCCTCCGTTGTAGTCTAGTTGGTTAGGATACTTGGCTCTCACCCGAGAGATCCGGGTTCAAGTCCCGGCAACGGAAACCTTGTTTTAAACAATTTTAACTTTGGGCTGCTTCTTATGTGCGTGATGGGTCCAAAAAGAGGGCATTAATCTTTGTTTTATTTCATATATCTAAAAAGGATGTTTTATATTGTTAACATCCACTAATCAGTTTTCTTACAAAGACGTGTTTTTTCTTTTAATTTACAGTTTTTATCATCAATGTAATGGTTCTATCTACAGATGCTATTTTGTTATATTTGTCGATTCATGTTTAATATGATTGTGAATTAAAGTA